TTACTCCAGAACCAGTTGTGTATGTCCACCAGTGGAAAAACCCAGTTGTGACCATTTTTAAGCATTGATGACATCATCAACAAACGCAAATTGTTTTGTATTGGTTTGGTAAAACATTGGTTTTAATGTTTTTATTACAGATTTTTTTTTGCTTCTTATGAGTTGTGAAATCAACTAGAGCAGGAGTGTCCAAAAGAAATTTGTGGCCCTTGGACTGACTTCGTTTGGCCCCCAATTGCAATTCAAAAATGATACAAATTTGACCCGTATATCTAATTTTCTTACACAGGAAAACATAAAGTACAGCACAAAGATTTTTTCTTATTACTAAGTTTTAGCAAAAGGTGAAACTAAAATTATCCAAAGATTTTTACTGAAAAGCCAAATTTGCTGCACCCAAATTAGCTTTTATTCTTTTTGAAAGGAAGTGAACCAAATCCTGCTCTTACTACTGAAAATAAATTAATTCAGTCGAGTCCAAAAGAAACTGAAAACTGGATGCTTTTTTTTTCATAAAGCAAAAACAGTGAAAAAAAAAGAAAAACAAAAAGAAAAAAACCCTGACATTTTGAGAGCAATCTCAGAAATTTGCTAGAAACTCCCTCCCCAAATTTTTAGATTATCATCAGAAATTTTCAACAAAAATTACTGGAAACTTCTGTATTTCAATGTTAAATTTTATTTTGAAAATTTTCTAGAAAATTTCAGATATCACAAAACATCCAAGTGTTTGGTTAAAATTTACTCCTTATTTTCTACACCGTCATAAAAATCGCTTTCAAGTTTTGAATCTACAACAAATACTTTATTTGCTTGATTTTAGGTTTGTTATTTTTGACCCAGAACTATTTTTTGAGTCTACAATTTTGGTGCACATGGCAAAAAGTTTGAATTAGAGGCTATTGATATGAACATTGCACTTACTGTTAGTTTAAGTTTAGGTATGTCGCCAATTAGCATCACTAGGCACTTAATGAATAAAGTAAACATTTTAATCCCAATATGTAGTTTATTTAATTGATGCTACTGTTGCTTCAAAAAGACTTTGAAATGGAGTCAAAACACTATTTTGACTCCATGTGCTTTTTTTATACTTTTGCTGCTAAAGTCATGTGATCTCCTTATCTTATCAGGGAAAGAGCCAATCAGCGACAAGGAAAATGACTGGTGCTCCTTGATTGGTTGCTTTGCAACTGCGATCCAACAGTGTCAACTATCATTTCATCTTTAAAACATAATTTAGATATGCTCTATCTAGGCAAATAATTTGGAGAAAATCCGTGAATACTGAACTTTTACAATTGTAACCAGTTTATACTGGGAGAAATGTGGTTCAAATTAATCATTACAAGCCCATATATAACATTCAGACCAGTGAGTGCATGTAAAGGTCTGACTGGGAGTGTACGACATAAAGCATGAGCCCCAGGAAACAATTTCAGCTGGAGTTGTTTGGAGAAAATATCCCTGCGAATCAAACTCTGAATGCCGACGGAGAAAGAAACAGACTCAAGCAGCCAGTGATTCAGCAGTTGGCTGCTGACTAAGGACAGTGGTGATCAAGGGGTTTGGGGATATGCGTCACGCCTCCTGATTGTGCATGTTGAGGAGAAGGCGAGCCGGTAATTGGGCTCTGAAAAACATTAGCCAATTAATTATTTTCCAAGAGAGCTCAGGAAGGAGAAGGGAAAAAAACAGAGAGAGAGAGAGAGAGAGCGAAAGCTACAAATGCAAACTTGAAATAAGGAATTTTCAGAATCTGAATAAATAAAATAAAATCTGTTTGAGATGACTTTGGCACACATTTGCATGGGTATCTGATTTGATTTGCATTCCTGTGATCCATAGAATGTATTATCTCTGTGCGATTCAGCATCCCCTCTTATCTGGAACACACTCAATCAATAGAAAGCGGCTCTGAATATGGATTACGGATGGGTATCTGTGCACCGAGGCCTGCATCAACTCCAACACAGTTATACATTCAGAAATGTACCCATTGGCTTCATTGAATATCCCTCAACATCGCCCTCTTCATCAACAAAAGGGCCAATTCAGCCATTTTATTACTAATAACATCATTCTGCACTGCAACTTTTGCTCTGGGTGTCTTATTATGTTTGGGCTTTTAAACATCATTACTACGGCTGCAACTAACATTTTAGTTATTGATTAATTGATTATTATGACGATTAAATGATTAATCGGTTACAAATATTGGCACATTCGACAGGTTTTTCATTTCTTTTTTATGCAGTATTAGAAAAACAAACAAAAAAAAAAAAACATTTTGATGTGATAACATGTCCTCACTAAGGCAGCAACTGGCAGTTTAGTTATTGATTAATCAATTATTCTAATAATTAATCTATTAATTGGATACAAACTTTCATTCTGCAGATTTTTTTAATTTTCTAATGCAAATTAAAAAATACATTGAAAGGTGCCAAAAAAACAAATGATTCAATTCCTTTTTAAAAAAAGATTTTATTGCCTAAAACACAAACACATAGCATTCATTTGGTGAACAATTGATTATTGCCCATATGTGCATCTGATTAGTACTTTATTACAGTTTAAATGTGCTGAAATATCCTACATAGGACTGCAACTAATATTTTTATTATTGATTAATCCCTTATTCTGACAAGTGATCAGATGCAAAAATTGTAATATTCTGAAATTTTTTCATTTGACACCTTTGTATACATTTTTCATGCGCTCTTGTGTGGAATTTTTGGTAGAATGGATTCAAGACAAACAGTTTTTCTTATTTTAAATGATAAATTTTTATATTTTCTGCACAGTTTTGGTTTAATTACTGCTTGAGCATGATGTTCTTTCAGCAAATTTCCCTTTTTGGAGTCTGTGTACTCCAGTTAACGATTATTGTAATAATGGATTAATCACGATTAATCGTTTCAGCCATAACTAACAATACGTCACGTTGAAACAGGAATAAATGCGTTTGTCATGAAGATATAAACTGGCACCCAAACAGAGGAGCTTGAGAAGAAAAAGCACACTTTGTGCAGTGGCAGGGAGCAGCTGAATATCTCCCTTTGCCCACAGTCTGGAAGCAGAACTCACAGCTTGATAAATGAGCCAAAGGAGTCAGAAGAATCTAAAGCCAGATAGCTTCCATTCTGCAGCCGAAGACGGGGAGAAGTGTCAGCTTTTTCATCCTCTGAGTGATTTAGACTGCCATTGGAGAAAACTGATGAGCGCTTTAGAGATTTATGATGGTTTGCCTTGCACATTAAATATAGACTTTGTAACATGTGCTCAGAGCTGCTTTGAAAACCTAATCAGACGCCGAAGCCGGGCAGAGAAAGGCGCAGATAGCCCTTATAATTCTGAAATGAGACGTTATTTGGCATTATACGAGCGTCTGATGGCTACTGTGTCGGAAACCTGATTTAGACATAATGATGGACTTTTTTTAGTGGTAATGTTATCAGCAGTAAAACACTCGAGTTTGGAAAGTTTCGGTCTCATGCTAACTTCTAGATATGTCAGCAGGATTTAGAAAGGTCTGGTCAGTAACCAGTTAGTTAAATCATATATGCTGGAGCAGAGATGTGTTGAAATGTTGCAGGTTTGCAGCCAGTAGATCTCAGAGTTTGATTCTTCTGCTTTCCTGCAAATTAGCAAATCACAAGACAAGGCACAGATTTTACCCTGCTATGGTCAAAAGGATTGATTTGAGAACTATAAATAGTATTTGAGTTGAGTTGGACGTCAGGGAAAGGAGAGTCAAGCATTTCCAGAGTTAAGATCTAATTAACTCTAATTAGAGGCTCGTGTCGGACGCAAGCTCGACTTTGCACTCTGCTGCTGGCTTAGTGGTGTTAGTCTTCCAGCTCCATTTTGTCGCTTGTTGTGACCGCAGGAAGAGTTGGATGCAAATCTACTGGGATGTGTGACTGATAGGAACCTAACAGGGCGATGCTGCGTACGCATGCATCGCATTAGAAACACCTAGAAACCCGTGATCAGGTCTGAAATCTGGGTACATGGTGATGGAATCAGACCTGAACCTTCAGAATCACATAAAGACGGTTACAAAGTCGGTCTTCCATCACCTAAAATAAAACATTTCCAGGATTAGAGGACAAATCTCCCAGCAAGACCTAGATACTGATTACTTTAGTGTCTTTACAGTTTATCTCACTAAAACTTTGGAAGACCGAGCGCATCACTCCAGTTTTAAAGTCTTTACCTGTAGCTCAGAGAATAGACTGTTAAATACTTAAGTTCAGGGGTGTCAAACTCAGTTTCATTTGGGGCAAATCAAAAATCTGATTGTTCTTAAAGGGCCGGCTGTGCCAGAATGTATTGATAAAACTAAATAAACTGTTAAAATATTAACAAACACCTGTTTGTTTCAGCTGTTAAGTGTAAGTGTTTCTTAAAATTAAATAATATTGATCAGTCCAACCAGAATTATATGATCGTTTATGTGGTTTTTATGCAATCAAAATCACAGATTTTGTGGTTCTAATTTAGAAATATTTGTAAGGAATTTTTATGATAATTGCGCTAATGTATGTATGATGTTAAATGTGACTTTTTATTAATCGCCGTATTAATCAGACTATAACTTGACATCATGTAAGGCTGAGGAGGCAGACATTTAAACGTTTTTGGCAAATTTTTAGACACATCTGCAGTAAATATCAGGAAAAATTGATTTTGTAGGAATTTTGTGAATTTATGAAAAACTAGAGGGACTTAATGATATAATTTAGAGTCTAAAGGGCCGCAGAAAAAGCTACAGCGGGCCAGGTTTGGCCCCCGGACCTCGAGTTTGACATGTGCTTTAGTTTATCTATCACTGAATGGTTTTGCAACAAAATTCTTAACTACTTTTATGAATCCTACTTAATTTATTCCTAACAATTTTCCAGCAAATTGTCCAATTTAACATTTTTTTAACCAAATCTTGTGAAATAATTCCCTCTAGTTGAGCTTAAAGATGCTCAATCCAGTTTCTGTCAGGATCCAAACTGGGTTTACTGTGAAAGGTTGTGTTTTTTCTCAGATGACATCTATATTTATGCCAGCAGAAAAACAAATCCAGCAACAATCTGACCAGGTTGTTTAATTTCAGGCAGGTGAGTTGAGGTTTTGCAGGCGGTTCTGACGGCGGTGTAGACTTTTCCTCTTCATTTCTGGTGAAAGGCAGAGAAAATGGAAAGAGGGTGGTCTAGAATATTACCCCTTTCAGTCAGCGAGATTAGCACATATGAGCCGCCTGCCAAATGTATTCGCATCATACATTAAAAATGGCATTCAATATAGCTGGATAATTTAAACGCATTCAGCGACTGGAAATGAGTTGGAGCTGCACTGAATTTACATAAAATCTCTATAGTGACCTCAAATAACATCTGTATTATAATACAGACATGTTTAATTGCTCTAATGGGTTATTCTGCTTCCACATGGGGTTATGAACCAAACACAGTGGACTGTGACTCGACTGGCACTTTTTTTATTATCACTCTCTGAAATCCACTTTTTAATCTCCTCACCTTACTGCCTGCAGAAATATTGTCATCGCCATCCACGACTTCTTGGCCAGGGCCTAAAATGTAAATCAATATTTTCATTATCATGTGCAGAATACAAAACAACTCCACAAGGGTAAACGTGGTAGTGCTGACCATGACTTTTCCCGCATGGAAAGAGAAAAAGTGAGGCGAGGTTAAGGTTACCTAATGGAATTAAGGACTTGGGACATTGCGAAGCAAGAAAGGTGCCATTTTAAAGCTCATATTTCAGCGGCAGTGCCGTTCTTCATGTCTGTAAGGAAGCTTTTACAAGCTTGCTTTTCAACCCAAGTTTTTATATCAGCGCCAACACACACCCATCAGATTCCCGTATAATCAGCTACCTTTTATCACAAAGGAACTAATCCAGTAAAGTGCCACACTCGTGATTTCCTTCCAAACTCCGACGGCAGCAACAGCAGCTAGGAAAATCTCACTGTTTCGCTACAACCAAAGTGCCAATCATTTCTCAGCTGTGAACGCCACAAATTGCCAGAGTTAAGCTGAGATTTGTTATGTGTTGAGGGGTCGGAGCAGCTATACTGTTGCCATGGTTCTGCACGTCCAAGCTCACTGGAATAATGTCTCCACTCACAAAGGAGACATTTAAATGAGCTTTGCTTGCTAAATGTTAGATATTAAACCCTGTAGTTAAGTAAAGTTAAGTAACTAGAGTTACTTTAACTCTAGTTAAAGTAAACTTTTTACTTGGGTAAAAGTAAGTTCTTGCTTTTAAAAAAATATTGAAAGTGCTGAAAATATCAGTTCCTAAAACTGTCTCAATTTTGGATCAAATCAAGATTATGAATGTTCTCCAGGCCAGTTGTGCCAGAATTATTTAAATTATTGTACTGGACGTCTTTGATAAATCCCTGCAAGATTAACTGTAGCTATGCAAAATTATATTGGGCAAAGAATGATCAACAAGTCATATCACAACAAAAAGCAGGCATGCTAAATGTTAGCTTTTATGCTATCCTATTGCTCCTGCCAGTAGAAGTGGGTTTTTGAAAAAATTTGATTAAAAACATTAAGAAACTGTTAATTTCATATAGATCAGTCCCTGCAGAATTATACGATTCTTTCTGTGAATTTTTTGGCAATCAAAATCAGTTTTTGTGACACTAAATTGGAAATATTTTGAGAAATTCTGCACGATTTGCGCTTATATGATAGTAAATTAAATTTTTTGTTACTTGCCATATTGATCATATGTTTTATAAATTAAGGCTGAGGAAGGGATGTAGTTGAAGTAAAAAATACTGCCACCTGCAGGTGGGAGTTAGCATCCCTAAAACCCAATATGTTGGCTATTTTAGCAGAAAAATTTGCAATAAACTTACAATAATGCAATAGTGTAACAATCAACAATTATCAACAAGTCATATAACAACAGAAAGCAGGCACGCTAATGTTAGCGTTTATGCTAACTTTATCCACTAGATAAAGTGGTAGGAGCTAGACTTGTTTTTTGGAAATTTTTGATTCAGATACAACTTTACTAATAATTTATAAAACAATCTTGTACATAATGAGTAATCAGGATAGCATAGCAGCTTTACAGCTGAGATAATTCTGCGTTGGAGTCCCTGCAGAAACTCCAACTGGAGCAAGTGGGATGTCAATGTGATGCTCATTGATTATAATGAAAGTATCAGTACTCATTAGCAGCAGATAACTATTTTAAAATGACTTGTATTGAAGTCAGGACAAAAAAAAATCCTGATATCTGTATTTTCAATATTTTAAGGAGAATTTAACCTCAGTTCAAAATAGTTACAGCTGAAATTGATTCAAAAACTTGTCTGCAAGTTTTTAAAGATCAATATACAGTGTGTACACACTCTCAGCACAGCTGGAAGTAGGTTAACCCACAAAGTCTAGCAATATTTCTCCCAGTGATACTTTTTTTACCAAACCTCCTGGGCCTGATATGTTGTCAGCCCCGGGGCTTCAGCCTCAGTAAGCTGCTGCATTAAAGAGGAAGTTTGGTTTATAAGTGGAGTGGTGCGGTGCTGTTACAAGTAGGATGTATTTCTCCTGCAGCAGACATCGGTCTAAGTAATACCTCTCCACTTTTTACTGCGTCGTCCAGTTGTTTAATTATCAACTTTATTTTTATTCCATCAGAAGCCGCATTGTTGCCTCCTCAGTGCCTGCTTCAGGTTACAGGAGATCAAAACTGCAGGATGCATGTTGATTTCTATATTCTGCAAAGGTTCTAACAGACTGTCAGAACATTTCTTATCCACAGTTCTCTGCAGGTTATTGCACAGATCTTGTGCCAGATTTAGTTCTGGAGCCTCATGTATAAGCTGGCACACGAGTCTGAATGTAGAAAAACGAACTTTGTGTGAAATTTTTATGTGCAGCAGCCATATAAACCTTTTTAGTCGACAATAACAAGGTAAAAAGTTCTGAAACTCGACTAAATACAACGAAATCTGACTCAGTTCACATTTACAGGGTTTCTGCAAGTTTCACCAACTCAAATTTAAGACTTTTTAAAACCACTATAAAGGAAATTTAAGACCTAACTCCACAGTAAGTGCAATAAATTTGCATGTATCCATGACAGATCCAAAAAAGCCAGCAAATTAGCTAGTAAGGGTATTTTAGCAGCTAGTTAGCTCTTTGACTCATAGAATGCACTGAAAATGTCTGCAGGCGACTCAAACTTCAGTTTGAAAGAAAAGTCCCAGTATGAGTGTTTAAACTGCAAAATCAAAATTTAGGACCTGATTTTAAGATCAATTTACTGGGGTTTCTTTAATTTACGACATTTTAAGGCCTTAATTTTAGATACCTACATTTCTCATAACATACTGGCATGGCATGGTGATAGTTTTAGCAAATATGTAACAAAAAAGTTACAAACTGTCACAGGAAGTCAGCCATTTTGGATCAAAGCTGCATTTTTTCTGCTTTTAACTTAGAAACGTCAAAAATAGACAGCTCAATTTTAAGGCATTGGCGATCAAAAGTTATCAAAAGCTTTTTGCTTCACCAAAGAATCTGGGCGTGGCGATTCAAAACTTTGAAACCTCGGTTTCAATGTGAGGTGAAACTACTGGAATTAAAAATCACTTTTCATTCTTTTCACACATCTTTACCTGAATAATTATGGAGCTGATGCTTCCTGTTGCTGATTTTCTTTAGAAAACCTTACAAGAAACCCTGGTTGTCTCCAGTGAGTTAGCTATTTAATATACAGCCAAGAATCAAGATGTTTAATTTGAGTTGAATCCAATGACAAAGGTAAAGAAAATTTTTAGTATTTAAGTGTAATTTTAATTGTTTTTATGACTATGTTTCATGGTGAGTAACTGTTTTGTAATCTTTAAAAACGTTCTGGAGGTTTTTCACAGTAATCCTCCTTTTGTCCTCGACTACTTTGTCTGGAAATGAGCTGAACATTTACTAAATAACAAGCCAAAGAAGGGGAAAGTGTCAGAAGAAAAAAACTTTTCTTACAAATCCCCAAAGAACTACTGATTAAGAGCGACAGCAGTTTTTTTTTTTTTTCTGTTCTAAAAATAATGAAAAACCTCATTAGCTCTCATTATGCCAGCAGTTGAGAAGGAGCCAAAGATTAGCTACTCAAAGGTTTCTGAAAGAGAGCTTTTACCAGGTTGTTTATTGAAATTAATATTGGCTGGTTTGATGGACAAGACAAGACAAATTTACCTGTTTTTCTCCCTTTCTGGTCATTATGAGAGCAGCCAGCAGCAGCAGGCATAATGATAATTAATACAAAGTGAAAGTACAAGATGGAGTGATTACAGCACCAGATTTGATATAGAATTGTGTTTAATAAGAAGACGCATTAAAAGGATGGCTTTCAACTTGATAAAATTTTAACATTTTTAGGTGTCTGTCTCATTATGATTATTTAAGCAACCGATTAATCGATTATTCTGGTGATTAATCTCTGAACTGGTTAGTCTTAAGCCTTTTGTATGCAATAATAGAAAAACATTAAAAGATACAAATAAACAAGCAATTAAATTCCTCTTTTTAATAAGAAAATAAACATTTCATTGAGTAACCTCCAGTTAACGATTAATCAATTTCTAAATTAGTTGGTGATTATTGAAATAATAATCACAATTATTCTGATTGTTAATCTGATTAATTGCTAGCAATTAATCAGATTAACCACTTATGTATAGATTTATGTATAAATATATATAAACAACATTATTTTAGTAATTGATTAATCGATTATTCAGGCGATTAATCAATTAATTTGATTGTTAAAGAAATCAAACTTTTACCAATTTTTCATTTAACCATTTCAGACATTTTTACAATATTGGAAATGCTTTAATAGAAAAAAATGAACGATTTAAATTCATTTTTTTATTGTATAAAATATAACATCATAGCTTTATTTGTTTTTTCTTTAGTAAATCTGAACTCCCCACATAAGGAGTTTTGGCTGAAAACTATTTTCAGACCACGATATTTTCATCTTGAATGAAAAATGTAAATGTTTCTTGTACAGTTTTGGCTCTGAATATGTTATTCTTTCAGCAATTTGTCTTTCTTTAAAGTCTGTATATTCTGTTAAAAATTGCTAAATAAGTTGACGATTCAGTTAATCATGTATATTCCAATTAATCGTTTCAGGCTTTAAGTTTTTATATAAATATAAAAAATGATCCAGTATCCTGTAGGTAAAAAATCTTCTACATCTTGTGAGATTTTCCTTTTAAAATTAGATTTCTCCTCTTCCTCCCTTCGGTGCCCCCACTTTTCAGGGAGGAACAAAAATGCCTGAAATCGCTTGTGGTGATGAACAGAAAGTTTCCATTAAGTTTTATTAAACTATGATATTCAGCTGTGTAAGACTTTAATTAATTTTATTCTCTGGTTATAAAGTAATTTGATTGTATGGGTAAAGGGGGAGATCAGGGATTCGTATCGGCCTTTCCATCCAAGGTTGAAATGATTTTACCAAAAGCACTGGGAGATTAAAGATAATTTTGTTAATAATAGTTCAGTAAAACAGTCACATGTGAATCTGATATAATTGAAAAAAAAATCTGCTGCAGCATCAGCACAGTTCCCTTGTCAGAGTGAATTAACTTCTGGCTGAATAGCAAAAGGAAATCTTTTAGCAGTCCACTTATTCAATAAATGTTGGGAGTCAGTTTGTCTCATCAATAGTTAAAAGTTCAACAAAAAAAAATCAGTGTAGAATAGTTTATGTATTAACAGAGTTTACATTAACCTTCAGCTTTGTTTAAGGAGTGTTCAAAATTTATATTATTTTGACTTCATTGTGTAGCCCTCTAGACGTTTATATGAGATTGCTAGCTTAGTATGCTAACATTAATGTCAAACTTATGTTGAAAAATGGCTTCTCTACTATTAATTCAGTTCAATTCAATCCAAAAATACTTTATTAATCACAGAAGGAAATTAAATGCATCTCAAGATTGCAATCTATGACTCTAGATGGCTGTGGCTACCGCTAACAAGCTAGCTAGCTAAATTATTGTTTGTTTTCTGGACAATATTCGTCTTCGCCACTGGCCACTCCTGTTGCCAACCCGTATGATGCTACCTTTACTGTGCGCTAAAAAGTTTCATGCTACTTGTATTTAAAACATATTTGATTTTTTTTGTACATTTATGCCGCTGTTACAATTGTGAGGTTTTTGAAATGGCTCGTTTTCCATACACCAAAAAACGCCTAGGATTTTTTTTAATGCTAGGGTCGTTTTTAGAAGCTGTAAAAACCAAAATGGAAGCACAAAATTCACATTTTTTCTTCACTTCAACAAAAATTAGAATTTTCATCTAAAACCTTGGCTGGGTTTTTGACATATATAATGGATGGACGTTC